ACAAAGGACACAAATTTCCACCATCACTAACGCTCCTTTCATTCAAAACTCGAATCGAATGGCCTCCAGGTTGACCGCAACCGCAAGTTTTCCGAGCGCCGTTTTTCAACTCCTGCAATATTCGAGGCAACATCCAAGCTTTTCGGCTCACCAATCAAAATGCGAGAATTACTTGGGTTATTATATAATTGTTAAATAGATCACGCAAGGAAGACCTGCGTTACAGCATATCTATATCTAAGTTTGCGGACTGATTTACAAAAGTGAGGAAAATTGCGCGATTTCTGAGAAAAAATAGCTATGGTTTACATCGACATCGTAGTGTTAGACCAGTGTTGTTGTGCGAGGAACATCGTTACGTGTTTGTGGATATTTTTCATGAATTCGACGAGATGGTATGAGGAAGGAGCGATTATCCATCTAAACAGCACTATAATCTTGTTATACATCAGCCGTTTAGAGAATCACAGATTCAAGTTGTGATGCTACCAATGAAGGGCCACAGCGCAAACCAAACAAAGTTATTTGAAGCTGTTATGCAAGAAAATGCGAGAAAATGGCAAACTCCTGGCTGACAACGCTTTAACACAACAGTATTTTGTGCAATTCTGGCTTGTGCGAAACGCGAGCTAAAGGCAGCCACCTTCAAAACAGACGAAAGACCGATCTAGTGGCAAGAACAGTTTTAAGACTTCAAAGAAGATCAGTTTATGAAGAAGTATTGTATCTCAGTGGCCAAATAAGTTGTAAGTCTTCCTCATCCTTTCTGGTCAAAATCTTGACAAAACATCCACTAGCACATAAAGAATTTCTTCGCAAATTTTCTCAGAAATCACGTGATTTTGGAATAATTTTAATTTTGTGACACAGTTACTAAATTTGGACAAGGTGTGACGTAAGCCTGTCTTACGTTATCCATATAAAAATAGGTTTTCGTGTCTGGAATTTAGTAAAGTTTAAGACAATCACAAAATTATTTGTGTCACTTTGTTTGTTTTAATTTTTTTGTTGTAAAACGTCCATCCAGAACAGTTTTGTCCAGCGTATTATTGACATCCTTAATCTGGATCATTTTGTTCTTTATCAATCATGCCAGCAGCGATATTATCTGACAAATGACATGATAAACAAATTCTAAGTTATGAAATAAAGACTTACCTGATTGAAATGAAAATATTGTTATATTTTTAGGAATGAGGCTATATCTATTAAAGTACCCTTGGAAAACGTAGCTGACTCTTTTTTTCAAGGCAAATGACCGCAGGACCTTAAGAGAGGATGAATGATAAGGGAAGTTTTCTAGCAGATGTTGCGCGTTTGCGTGGGTGTTTTCGTGAAAAAAAAATGCGCTTAAAGCGGTTTAGGTCGCTCAAGTGAATAAAATGTGCGTCGAAATATCAGCTTTTTCAAGACCGTCCCGGGATTTACGAAACCAGGGGCGCTTTTAATTCAACCAAGAATTCCGAAAATTTTGAAACGGAGGAAAATGGTGCAGAAACTTTACTGGGAAAGATTCCAGAAATCCCGACAGTCTTGAACCGAAAATTACTTTCACAACTGCTTAAGTTGTGTGTATAACTGCGATGATCAATAATGTCTTTAGAGTGATTGATTACCTTTGGAATACTTATGGGTGATTATCTCACTTACCGTTATCTCCTTTCGACAAGCGGCATTTCAAATCAGTCTAAATTCATCAAGTTATAAACGAAACGACATCAAGATATCGAAGAAGACATTTACTATAAAACTGAGAAAATTACCTCACCGCAATTGGCTAACGGTCAGCCAAGCACAAGATTTTCGATTTTGATCCTTCCTCTCACATTTAACCGCTCAAATGAATGTCAACAACAATAGCTTCAAATTTATTAAAAACTTCAGATATAATTCGTTGGCGTATGCATGTTCAAACGGTACTGTTATAGGTACAGCTATAGGAGATTTCCGTGACTATAGGTGGGGGTCTTTGTATACGATATTTTCCTCATTAGCATAAGCGATTCGGTTTGTGATCAAGCCACAAAAATATCAGAAGTGAATATTTAAAGAAATGGCATGATTAGCTGTCCATGGAATTTGAGTCCGATGTATTGAATACTTTTCTTTTGCGCCTTGCATGGGTTTACAACGAATGCATGAGCTCATTAGTGCTTTCTCAATACTCGTTCAACATGTCACCCTTAGGGCTAACAATTTCACCAGTTAATAATTTTAAAAAGCTCTTTAACTGCTTAGAGTCCATACGTCAATATCATGATACCTTCTCTAAAAACAATCGTATGCTAATGAGGCAAATGTAAATAATGATGTCAGCAAAGATCGCCCTATTGATGGAGTGATATAGCTCTTATGGGTTAATGGCGTGAGGGATTTTGCTTAGTTAGATTTCATTCGAGATAAAAGTATAGATAATTTAGAAATAATGTTATCTCATTTTCTTCTCATGATAAGTAGTATACCTAACGTTTTCCTTTAAACTTAAAAAGCTGGAAGAAATCTGGTCACTTAAGCGTACACGCACATCGCCAAATTAAGTGGAGCTATTTCAAACTTGTCAATCAATCAATCAAGGAGAAGGGACGACTGCTTAGCCAATCAGATAACAGCTACAAGATTTCTCCTAAAAGCTGGTAGTCCTACTGAAAGCCGGCAGCCACGAGTAGCCGTGTCAACTTTACAAGAATGTCATTAATTACCGGCGCTTTTAGTTTTGACATAATGGATATTGGGTATTGGGTGCCGCTTGATATTCATATTCACAGATGTGATCGATCCTTTCGTGTCAACGTAACATGCTTCGATGTATTGGGAAAAAGAACACAATCAGTCGGGTAACATACATTTTGAGAACCAGGAGGATATAAAATTACTATAGAATTATCCGCGCCAAAAATTAAGTACCAATTAATAGAAGAACTCAAACTTAACCCAACATTCTCTATCCGATGCCAAATCCCATTTGGCATTGGATGGAGGTAATTGCTCAAACATATTTAAGATATAAATTAATGATAATTTGTCAGTGTCACTTAGAGATAAAATTTGCCTGGTTAGTATTTCTTGAATATTATGTTTTACATTAAAATCGACATCATCTTATTTTTCACGTTTATTCATAATGGTTTTCCATTTAATGCTAATCTTTAAATTTTTCAATAATACAGTTACCGTTTTCTTTTTCTTCTTTTTTTTAAAAATTAAGTTCAGTTTCTACCAAACGGCAAACGACGAAATTATCCAGAATCTGTAACTCGTTAAGATCTGTAGGCGGTGTGTGTGACCGCGGTAAAGAGCATTGGTAATTTTCTTTTCAGTCAGTAACCATTTATGATTACCATATCATCGAGGTTTTAATCTCGTTGATTTTGCCAGTCGTGAATTTGTAGGAAATTAAACAAGTAAAATATTATTGTAAGGACTCGTGTAGCATAAATTTCATCTACACATCTCGCATATCCAAAATTCATGTCGCGAAGTTCAAACCGGGTTTACGCGTCTCTACAAGGATCCTCTTGAAAGTAAATAAACGGCAAGGCATCTGAGAACTCCTCCTTTGAATAATTTTTTTTCTCTCTCGGTTATTACGCTAAATATAAGCTGGTAAATATCACTAGAAGTCTTGCCCGTTCTTAAAGAAATTTTCTTCCTAAGGCGGGTACCAACGTTTTCAAACTTGACTAAGAACAAAAGGCGCATTTTAATTACAAGTAGAAATATACATCACAAGGCCAAGATCGGTTGACATTTTGTTTTCTTAACGATGACTTTCTTCCTGAAACGTATTTACAAGAATGATTTCTTGTTTAAGATATTAATATTATGTTAATTTTAAAATTAGATTTGTGCTCTAGTCCTCGAGCTACAAAAACAACAATTACGCAGAGAAACTAACCCTCTTGATATATTTTGCAGTCCTTGCATTTCTTTTACACTTTTGAACAATTTTTTCTGAGTAATTAATTCTTATTCTCTCAGGTCTATAAAATATTCACATTACGTAACAACCTTATATAGTCATTTTGTTGGAATACTTTATTGGTTCTTATCTCGACGTCATCTAAGTGTTGACATACGGATTAAAAACCCTTTACTTTGCCCTTTAAATTATTCACAACTTAAAACAGCTTCACCATTTTAGAAATATCGAATTACAAAAGAGTAAAGATCATTTTCATTTGGACGAGCAGCGGAAAGTTCTTTACAAGGCGTCTATGCAAGATGTGCTTGACAACTTTAGGCACAGATAATCACTGAAGATTTGGCACCTTGATGCTGATTTTTAACAATCCCATGTAGGGCACTATATGGAACATTGCTTTTCTTGCCTTCAAAGCGTGAAGCAATGTCGGAAGATATAACGTCCTTAAGCGAGGAATTGAAGCACCGAAAGCAAGCGTTGGTTATTTGTGAAGCATTTTTCTATTTTCTTACTATTTTGGTGGCGGTAATTGGCAATTCCTGTGTCCTCTTAGCGGTGTACAGGAACAGGAGACTGCGAACAATTCCCAACTATTATATTGCATCTCTGGCCATTTCCGACATCCTTCTACCATTGCTGTGTGCACCGTACTCTGCAACAGTTGTTATCATCGGTTATTGGCCATTCAGCCATAATGCTTGTCAAGCACAGGGCTTTTTTGTGATAATCCTTGCTTGCGCGTCGTTGCTGATTTTGACACTGACTGCGATAAATCGATTTTACCGAATGGTGCGAACAAAACATTATCGGAGAATTTTTACGAAAACGAAAACCATAGTCATGATAGTTTTCTGTTTCGGTTTAGCTTGTATGGAACCATTACCGTATTTGCTCTCGGGAAGATACTATGTCTTTCACCCCGGCAAGTTGTTTTGCTTTCAGACGAGCGAAATTTCCATTCCAAATTTTCTCGTCTATGGCTATGTCGGCTTGCCAACGTTTACCTTGTCTATATGCTATGTTCTTGTCTTCAAACGAATGCGAATTCATCAGCGAACCGTCCAAAATTTACGTTCGTCTTCTTTGGCCGAGGAAAACATTACTCACGCAGACGTAAAGGCTACAAAGATCTTATTTGTGACTGTGATGGGATTTTTGGCCTGCTGGACACCGATTTCTGCCATAGACTTTGTTGACACTTTCCGAGGGGAAGTTACCTTTCCAAGGGAGGTCTATGTTTTGTATTTCATTCTAGGAAATCTCTCAGGAGCAATAAACCCGTTTGTCTATGGAGTGTTGAATAGGAATTTCAGGCAAGAATATAGAAAGATCTTTATGCTGAGAAAAAGGAACTCAAGAGTACAACGTCTTCAACTGGATTTCACAGATCATTCAGTTCAGAATCGACGATACAAAGAATCCACCATCTGCTGAATCATCTCTTTTTGGACCGTTTCACCGCAGGCTTAAAATACTGAAATAATCCTAAATTTTTGTCAAAATTAATTGAAACCTTTAGTATTTTTTTCGCTGCGATTGATGGCACAAGGTAGCACTAAGCTGTCTAAATACACGATTTTTTTAGATTTCAACGAATGTCAATAACTCCACGAGTGAACTAATAAAAAAAGACAAGTGAAAGACAAAAACGTCGATATTCAATCAGTTTCCTTTATTTCGTTGAACCCGTCAATAGTATTTAGTTTGCTTCACTCTTTCCAAAAGTATTTTTAGATTCAATACAGGTCATTAATGTTACCGCACCCTTATTAATTTTTTTTTGGCTTAACATTTGTCAAATCTTAAATAAACAAGACAAAGAAATCATTACTTTGTCTTTCTTGTTTCCTTCATAGAAAACATATTAAGTTGGGTTGACAAACTATGTATGGTCTGGAGTACAAAAAAAAGGATGCATTTTCCCACAGATGACTGGTGGGTAAAAAAATAAACCCTTATAATTGTGTTAGACACACTAAGCTACATGTATGTCTCTATCCAGGTGAACAACTTACGACCTTTTCCCTGGAAAGAAAAAAAAATAACAAAACAAACAGATGAAAAGAAAGCCCGACGCTAAATTATTTACATATTTATTCCTCTTTATGCGTCTTAATTTGCTTTTCATGTGATGTTCTTTTATATTTGTAGCCAATTTTCTTTTGGGATGAATTTTTTTCAGAATCGTTTCAGCCGTCCATCATCTTACAAATACTTTGAACAACATTTGAACGTCATTTTCCATGTGGGACGCGGAAAATGACTATAGCACCTTACAATTAACACTTTTAATTAACAGCTGAAGAAAAACACAGCTGGCCGCAAGATCAATACAGGTCAGTTTTTTATGATTACTACTTTATTACTTTTTTTGTTGTTGTTGTTTTGTTGGTTTTTTTTTTGTTTGTTTTGTTTTTGTTTTTTTTTTCAGCTAAAGCAGTTTTTTCAAAGGGGGCATGCCCTTTGCGTGGTACTTAGAAAAAATATACAGGCAGAAAAAAAACAAACAAACGAAAGAGAGAAAAAAACAAGGTACCCATTTTGCCAAAACTACAATGGAAAATCAGGACAGAGAATAAGAATAGAATAAGCTACTTCTCTTTCCTTAGTCGTATATTTTGAATTTTGTGTTATATTTATTCTCTGTGTTCTTTATTGTGTAACACATTCAACTTTCCCGTGAAATAAATAGCACATGGTTACATTTTTGGTTTTCATTCGTTATTAATATTGCATCTACGGAAATTCATTTGACGTACAAGGTATACAAAGCAAAATAAATCATACATGCGAGAAGCCTGCTAACACACACGGATTTCTGGCCTTTCTTTTGCGCCGCAGAAAAATACCGTCTGTGAAAACGACATCCACGAGCGACTTCAATGACGTAATTTTCTTTGGCCCAATCACAATTGAGTTGTAAAAGTCCAGAACTAAACACACGTGTCTTGCGCAAAGCATGACTCGTAGTGGTATTTGGTGATAATACCGCGAGTGATATTTTAAAATCGTCCAAAATACCACGAGCCGCGAAGCGGCGGGTGGTATTCGGAAAATTTTGAAATATTACGAGCCGGCATTATTGCAAAATACCACGTACGGGTCATGCTATTATTTGTTTATAATAGAAGCCGAGAAATTTGCGGTAACGCACAAGAGACCTTTATCTCGTTACGGTTGAAAAACAGGCGTCTGCATTCGTAACAATCTTTTTACGTCAATGAAAAAAAAAAAAATGATTGCCAGTTTTTTGTGAAACCAGTTCAAACCATTCAAGGCAAACAACATGAAATAGTTCAATGAAAGTAATTTTGAAATCACGGTTTTTGCAGTCACTGCAGCGGAGAAGCGAAACCACAAATTAAGATAAGGTAGGGGTAAGCTCATCCCAGTGTTTAGTTGTTGCTTTGTTGAAAACCACCAACACCAGCTCCGTAATGTATCGTCACCTGACAGCTATAAAAAGTGATGGACTACTGTCTGGCAGGCTGGAGTCGCTGTATGATTGATTGTGCTGATTGGGCAAACTGGAAAGAACTGGACAGCAATTTTGAACCTGTTGGCAGACAGGAGAGCTGATGATGGATGAAATCTGTCGCTGTTCTGCTTCGTCACCTTCCTGGTAGTCTATTGCCAGTGAACGCTCGCTTGTGTAGCCTGTTACACCGATGATAGCACTTCTTGGCTGATTCGAGGCCTTCAGCTTCTTCACGAGCGCTTTTCTTTCCGAATGGTTGATTAACTTTCTTCCGTCTACATCCAATTCCGCTTCCAAGGCCATATATTTCATGAAGGAGTCAATCTTATTAACACCCATGTTTCTTGTACCACACTTCGGATTCCGGATTTTCAATAATGGCGAGACAAACGGGCCACTGTTTCCCATTTCTTCTTCTTCACCACGAAGACCAAAATGAAGGGTGAGCAGATACCATAGAGTATAAAGGAGTGACTTTGGAGTTTGTTCGCCAGGTACACGGTTTTTCCATAGCTGCTCTTCATCTTGAACGGTAAGTGCTTTTGTTGCATTTGGTCGTTTTCCGTGGCCTTTTTCGCGAAGAGCTCTTGCTTTTCCTTCTAAGATCTATCTGTACTTGACGAATTCTCGGTCCTTCGCTATGGATATTTTGCTGTCATTTTGTTTGGGCAGCTGACATAACCCTTAGACTGTCCGACGTATAGTCGGAGCGATCGCTTTTGCCTCGAACTTCGGCAAAAAATCGCGAGAAACATTCGTCCAGTTCTTTAGCTTCGTATTTCACAACAATGTCGTCGTTAAGACCCTTGCATTCTGCCAACGACTTCCAAACATTCATCCACGTCTTAGAAGTTTTGATTGTATTTTTGTTTAGCGCTTTTCGGCGAGCTTTTGTATTTCCTACCCGGAAATTTCCGAGAATCTTGCCGCCAATTTTTGAAAACAAAAGCAAAACGTAATTGTGTTTAGTGTTGTCATGGCAACCTTGTTATACCATCCATCTTTTGCTGTTATACCACTATTACGCGGAAATAGTGATGCTATCAACCAATCAAATCTCAGAAATTTATCGGCTTATATTATAACGCATGTAAGAGAAAATGGCGGAAGATGTGGAGTCTTGAAAGCAGTTCGCGTTTACAAAATTTTGCGAGAAATTTAGAACTTAGAAGCAAATCACGGACAAAAGAGGCTGCAAGATACAATTTTCTATACAAAAAGGATATGTTCGTGAATTTTCCCACCGGGTTTGGAAAGGTCTATGCTATTTCAGGGATCACCCAAAGTGCTTAATTCTTTATCTGCATGTGATCGTCACTTCACCTTCACTTAGCCTAATTAAAGGTCACGTAAGTCGGTTAACACCCCCTCTAACAAGTCTATTTTTCTGAGCGATATAAGCATGAAATCGCAGAGAAGAGGGTGGAAAACGCTTGTTTAAAGATCACCAGAATCATGGGCAGAATCAAGGTGGTGTAAAATGCTCATCAATATTGACACCTAAGAATTTTGTCATATGTACTTGTTTCAGTGGTTTGATTCCAAAGGTGGAGGAATAGGGTTTGTTACGTTCTTCAGTCTCGTGAGGATAAGTGGTACAAACTTGTTTAGCATATACGTTGTGTTTTCACATAATAGTTAATGTACCACTATTACCGAAAGTTCAGAAAGATTGACAGACCTCAGATTGACTTGACTATTAAATTTAATATCACTGGTAATTTGAACGAGACCCTGTTATCCATAAAGTTAAGGAAATGTTATTAATTTTTATTGTAGTTTGATAGATAGGTTGATTAGTCCAGTAACTTAATTGACTGATGGAAAACCGTGTGTAAATAAAGTTATCTTATCTTATCTTATCTTATCTTATCTCATCTTATCTTATCTTATCTAACGAAAAGGTTTGTTTTGCTTAGAAAAACCAAAATAAATTGTTTGTTTTTCCCTTGGACTATGTAAATTGTATGGTCGTCTTGACCTATTGCTAAAGAAAATAAAACTGAACAAGAAGTATACATGTGAACTGATCAGGCAGTTACAAAATGTACCTTCTTAAGGTAAGGTGATATTTAGTCAACCATTAATAGATAAACCCGCCTCCTCCTGATCCCCTGCTCCCCTGCTCCCCTGCTCCCCCCCCTCCACCGTTAATCTCTTGGAACTTGGCCAAAGCAATTCAAAGATCTAATAGCAACATTTTATTGGTGACAAACACATTTTATGGCTTGCTCGATAGATATGTAACAATGACGCAACGTTGGCATTGATCCCGGGCTCAAATTGCGACCAACTTTAACCGCAACTAGTCTCAGGTCCACGTTGAGCGGAATATTATCTTTTAAGTTAAGTTAACAGGTTGCTATTAGCAACCTGCCTCGTCTGACTCTGCAGGTAAAATATTTACTTTGTGTGGTTTTGAATTTATTGTTTAATGCAAAGGTACCCGTTATTTCACCAAAAGTTATACACGTCTGGGATTATTTAATTCCTGATTGAAATAGAATATCAATCATCTTGAATTGTCTTTGAGGATATTAGTTCCTTTGGCTCCTTAATTAATAACGAAATGATGGACCTCGCTATTTTTTTTTGGAAGTTTACAGTCGTACATGTACAGTAGTACTAACATTGATGCCATTTAAATGACATGATCACGACGTTGTTTCCACCAGCAGGCTTTTAAAAGTGACTGATTTACCTTGACAGCGGAGAATATCAATTAATCACCTAAATTACTACTTTAACAGGAATTTTTAGTTTGATATTGCGGTAGAAATAATGAAAGTAATACTGAAAATGCCTGTAAAGTCGAGTGAAAAATATTAAAAACAAACAATGAAATGTTATTGTTTTGGTTGTGAGAAACAGGTGGGAAAAGAGATTAATCCATCGTTTTAATGTTATTGATTTAGGAGGATCTTCTCACGCATAACAGTAAAAGATAAGATCCCGCCCTATCTAATTTGAGAAGTGCTTTTACTTAAGGGTCAAAGGTGATGGCTTTCATAAGTACTGCGTTGATTCTTATGAGCTTTTCGACGTTTGCAAGTAAGACTTTACTATGATGATTTCGACTGAGTTATTTGAGATGTTTGTATTGTGCGAAACTCATATCTCTGTTCTTTCAAGCACAGGAGGCACGTGGAAATACGGTGACAGTGATCTGAATCGTGGGGGTAAGTCATGATCATGTTATCCTAAGCATTGACTTTGAACTCGTAAAAAAAATCGCAATTTCCGCCGCCCTGTCAGGCGTCCTAATGGCACTACCTCTGGACGCTTTTAAGATCGGGTTCCATATGATTGCTTCAACCACTACGATCGTAGAGATAACTTAAGTGTACCTCAGTGATTGTTGTCGCAATGATCGCTGGAGAGTAGTTTCCATATAATCGCAACGATCTCTGAACTCCTTTTTAGAGCGATCGCAGTGATCATGTGGAAACCAGCCTTAAGCAAATTTTACATAGCCGCATCAGAAATATCCATTCAATAAAAATATAGCTACATGTATACTTAGCACCAAATCTTCAACCATGCTGGACCAAAGTATTAAATTTATTCGCGATAAATAGATGTCTGGAGGTCCGTTCTGGGGAACTTTTTATTCAGAAACCCCAAAAGAACTACCAAACTGAACCTATTGGTTCTGGCTCAAAATAATTTATTTTGACGTTTGATTCAATTGTGTTTACCATTGGTCGGAAGGAACCGGTTAAGATCAAAACTGAATACTGGTAGGGTTTTCATTTGAAATCCGATTTAGTTGATGGACGACTCGAAATTGGAGAAATGGAGCAAATTGAATTTCATGACAGTTCCATTATTTGACTTTCAAACAAAATTTGCGGATTTTTTGGGCTAAATGGTAAGCATCCCAAATGGTATCGAGGGTATAAGTGATTCGACTACCCCGCGGGTCATAAAATAAACTCTATTTTCGAGGGAACTCGACTGAAGTTCACTTCTTCACGTGAACACCCAAGCGGCTTTACATGCCTGTTTATACCCTCCACAAAAGAATAACATCAACATTCTCGCATTCCATAAATGAATCGCTTAAGGAATAACTGTTGAAAGTCAGTCGCGTTGCGATTTGATTTAAAATGTATTAAAATGAAACTCCTATGAGCGTTATGCTGCATATGAAAAATTCTGAACTTAATACGGGTTTAATACTTGCACGAGTATTCACAGAAAACTTAAATAAAAATGAACAGTCACCCGTTTACGTGTAAATTAACCAAGCTAGTCTCTGTATTGATAACCAGTTTATGGCCCTGACGCATGGGGAAACGTTGCTAGTGCATGTCGTCAAGCCGACCAATCACCAATCGACATTGTGACCAAGGAAGTAGAATCAGATTCGTCACTTGGAGAGCTGGACATCACTTGTGATAACGACAAAGGCTTGTTCAATGGAATACTGCTTAATAATGGATACGAACCAGTGTTAACTGCTGACAATGAAAGGGGCACTTGCAACCTGACTGGCATTGCCTTGGACAACAAGAATTTCGAACTACACGATTTAAACGTTCACTTTGGGTGTGATTCAGACAGAGGGTCCGAGCACACAGTGGACGGAAAACCTTTCCCGGCAGAAGTAAGTGTCGATACTAATAAGGTATTGGTCCTAACTACTATTCTATTAGTACATGTATACTTCCTATTCAATGGGATAGGATAGGATAAGATTTAAAGTGGCAATACGGCTAGCTTACAGATATCCCACTACCAAAATTAACATAACTAGTATAATTAAGATATTAAAAGTTATAACATATTCATACAAAAAAAATTGAAAATTTCATTAATAGACTGATACAGTAAAACCAATATTTAAAATGTTAAACTTCGAACTTCGCTAACAAAATCCTTGTTTCCAGCTAACGTGCGTATATTGTCAGGTAGTGTGTTCCAGTGTTTCGCAGCGTAATAACTAAAACACTTAAGGCCATATTTGGTACTATTCACCTTAGGTAGGGACAAAATTAAACATTTGCGCCTCGCAGGTTGTAATTACTCGTTCTGATGTTAATAAGACGATTAATGCTTGCTGGCGCTCTGAAAACAACTGTTTAAGGTAACTAACATGTCCTGGATATTACATATTGGCTGAGTTATTGCACACTTTACGCCAAACTGGCGACGTTTCCTGGCTAGTTTTTTTCCGAAGTTTCGGAGGAAGGTGCAAAAATAAAATGGCACTTTTTTAAAAGGCCTGAAGTTTATACTACGTAATACTACAATTATAAATCGCTAATTGAAGGGTAAATGAATTATAATTTCACTGAAACTATCAAATTATTCGCTCTTGATATTTATGAGGTCATATAAAAAATTATATTTTTTGCTTATGATTTTACAATTCACATATAGCTGCAATTGATGTTCTACAACACAGAGTACGGAAGTTATGAAAATGCTGCCCCAAAACAAGACGGCCTCGCTGCCATTTCAGTTCTTTTAAAGGCAAGCGTTGATTGTTATTGTTTTGTCTGTGTCTATCTGCATGTCTTCCTGTTTGTGTACCAATTTGTGTGTTCGTTCTGTTTAGTTCTATTTGGTAAGTGGGATTTGTTTTAATACACAATCTAAATTTCCACTTTGAAAGATCTGGTTTATTACATTTCATTTTAGGTCATGTCTTGATCATAAGACAAGTTTTCTTTGAAAGAAAACTTGCAAGTGTGCTGGGTTGTCTTTTTGCCAAACACCGTGACAAATTAGTGATAGTAAACAAAAAATGAACTCGAAGGACGAGACGGAGTTATTACGAACGACCAATTTTCCTAAGTTTAGTAAACTTGACCGGAAGACACTTTCGCCATCCTTTACTCCACCGACGCCTTAAAGAGTTTAATATGGAAAACATTCAGAGTTGTAGCCCACATAAAGCTACTTGAAAATAGAAAGGTCTAGATGGGAGGTCGTGATTGACAAACTGGGTTATTATTTAAATTTGGTGATTTGGCTATAAACCCCACTTACTCTGATCTCTCATTAAGAATGCATTTAATTTATTCAGGTTGGGAAGTCTAAAAACAAGGCATTGGACAGCATTGTTGATCAAATGGACGACGTTGCGGTGGAAGGTTTGTCTGTAGACAGTTTCACCTTCCATTTTTAAGTAGCCCTCAGCAAACGTTCGTTATTTAATTTCCTAGTTGAATTACTGTCAATCTCAAAAAAATAACGTGGGCTAACCTTTTCCTTGGCGATCTACTTTTTTCCTAAACACGATAATCTAGTTAATACCGAACTGGCTTGAATAGTAGAGATGATCCCCAGTGTTTGCAAGCACAAAACAGCCAGAAACGCACGGCAATTTGGACTAATGTGCTGAGATTTCACAAGAAATGTCCGATTTCTGACTTATCAAGCTGTTTAACTGCGCTTGTTTTAATGCCAGACCTTCTGAGCTAGTAAGTAGTCTCGAAGACTCTCGATCACTATATACATACATAGAGAGTGTCACGTGACTTCATAAGCTGCGTTAAGTTGCTGAAAGTTGTTAACAATTAACCGACATATTTACTTTGCTATATCTACCAGGCTATTCCATAACCAGTAAAACTCATACGCCACTTTCATCGGTCAATACTTAGCTCTTATTAACCGAGCAGGAGGTTTGTATGGTAGAATCTTTACCGAGGTCGTGAGTACAGACGAACGCAGTGAGGTCTGTACACACGACAGAGGTCAAGATTCTCCCATACAGACCGACTTAGCTTGGTTAATAAGATGTTTATTATATGGCAAAGAAGAAAACTTTAATT